GAATTAAAAACAATATACTTTTTTTACATGAACTTAGTAAAATGGTGTGACAATTAAGCCACTCGGTTAACTCAATTGAATAAGTACCGGTCTGCTGAACAGGAGGCCGCTGGTTCAAAGCCCGGTCAGACCAACACTCAGGGTCTTTGAATCACGCAGGAGAAAGTGCTGCCTTTGAAGAGAATGAATGAAGAGTCATGGATGAGAGGACAGCAGACGTGCCCTCTTACAATATATTTTAACAAGTGAACAGTAAGCTTGGATGTCAGCACACAAAGGCACCACTGGCAGCCGCTCTCAGTCCATTTATGAGCTTACTGTACCCACCCAGCCCATGATGTGAATGATGTGATGTGAGTAGGTTGACCACAACACCAGGGTCTACACCCCCTACTCTTTTCGAACAGTGGTGTGGGTTCTTTTACGTCACACAAGAACCAGATAGATGTAAGTGCTGTGAGACGGGACCTAGGGTTTTTCGTCCTTATCCGAGAAGACTAGAAAGTCTAACGGTTTGCAGATGTCATTACAAAGGCAGCACCTTCTTCTCAGTTATTTAAAGACCCTGAGTGTGGTCCGGCTGGGGTTTGAACCTGTGACTACCCGCTCAGCAGACTGGTGCTCTCCCAATTGAGCCAACCAGGCGGCCGTAAAAGACATCTATTAAAGACATCTGCAAATGGTTAGATTTTCTAGTCTTCTCAGACAATATAAGGGCAATAATTCATAAACCATATAGGCCCTATCTCACAATCCTTGCACAATCATTTACACCACTGTAAATTCTGTGGGATGTCAAAGAACCCACACACTGTTCGTAAAAGGGTAGGGGATGTAGTCTCCAGTGTGGTGGTCTATCTCTTATGAGGCGTGAGGGACCATTACAGGCCTGCAGTAATTGGCGCCATGTGCTGTTGTGATGACCCTGCCAGGAATTGGTGAAACCTAAGCGAATAAACATTTTACTTATAGGTTTAGCAGAAGCAGTATGCAATCTGCATGTCACATGGTTAAAACACCCAGACAGTGTTTGTATTTCATGGGAGACCTTAACATTTTGATTACATTATGTCCTTTTCTTACAATATAATAACAATAATACTTTCACTTAGCATTAGTCTAGTTTTAGAGTATATGTAATAATAGAGCTATTATATAAACCACTATGCCATCAGGACTGAATATCACCCTCTTTTAATAAAGGTTAATATACAGATTTAGCCAGGGCTTGCTAAAAGCAAAGCTTTCATTAATATACTTATACTCAAACAAAAAATAAAATCGTGTAACACTAAATGTCGATCGGCAATGAGAATGACAAAAAAATCCGTAAGTCAAAATTAGCAAAAAACAACTTTGCTTATGCAGCACACTTTTTTGTACATTTCTCTGTTGTTGTTTTGCATGACTACAACGTGAAACTTTCTAGTTACATGTTTTATCAAGGAAGAAATCTTTTATGTGTTCTTCCATGTTTGTATTTTTCATTACCGCTCATTTTCACCTTGGTGGCCACTAGCATTTCTCATTTTCTCACTGCCGCTATAAACTTTTCACGTTTTTCTTCCAACAAAATTCATCTCCTTTGTTTTTTTTTTTTTATCTCTCACTCTACACCCCGGCTTACATGAAGGGGTGGAAATACATATGGATGTAAGTATGGGTGATCTTCTCAGAACCAAAATTTCTTGCATGCATAGATAATCAAATTTTGTTTCCCATGGCGCTCCACTATTAATATTTATATCATCAGTATTATTTTCATCTACTGGAAGCACAGGCCCCAACAACAGTGTGTATCTCACCCATTTGGTCCAACCAAGCCATACCGGCGACCAGCAGTGATATTAAGGTTTGCATTGACAAACAGATCTTTACCACGAGCAGAAATGCTGAATTTCTCAACCTACAAAACAGTAATAAATAATGATGAACTTCACTTTTAAAACCTTGTCACATGTAGAAATACCTGCATATTCATCACAACAGCTATTTTCCAAACCAGTAACATTATTTTGAAGTAATAAGTACTTCAATTTGCAACATCAAAAAAAATCATACGAGGAAGTCATTTTAATAATAAAAAATTATTCAATTATTTAACAGTGAGTGTTCATTTACCTTTATATCTAATGCATTTTCTAAAACTGCACCCTTTGCAGATGACTCCTGCTGCGAAACAGAGAACTGAGATCCTGCAACTTCTTGGGCTTCCATTTCAAATTTTTGCTACGAAAGGGAACACAATAAAAATTATCATTTGCTGCAAATTTTTCTTCTTTTTCATTGGCCAGTTACATGTAAGCTAAAACAGTTACACGTTAGCCTGTGCCACAGACAGAATTAAATTAACTGCTCATAAAGTCTGTCTGCGAAACAGCGCCAAAATCCTAGTTCTGGGTCCCCACCTGTGTACCAGGATTTGAATATGTGCCATGATTGGACTGTTCAAAAAGCTATTACTGATATGCAATCAGGTTGCAGGGAAATTTTACATGCATTTCTGGCAATTTTTTGAGTCTGTCGAGGGCCCAGGACAGGGTTCTTGGCACTGCTTCGCAGATGTTACTAACTGGGGTTAGAAAAATGCCCTTTTCTATCCTATTCAGGGCTGTCACCAAGGGCCAAGAGCTAGGGATTTTCCCTGGCTACATGTACAGGGAGTGTGACCCCCAGTCACTTTCAAAGGAAACAAAGAGAAAAACAGAACCAAAAGAACTTCCCAGCTGTTCAACTCCTCACCAACATGTACTAATGCACATACCTTGCAAAGAGAAAGTAAAAGCCCTGACTATAAAATAATGCATCCAAATTATTTTTTTATGCAACTGATATTAATATTATAAAGGAAATAAAGGGAGATGTAAAGAATCAACCATAAGAGGACACAGAAAAAAAATCTGAGCCCCAGATGGGATTCGAACCCACGACCCTCCATGTTCTAGATCGGATGCTCTAACCTCTGAGCTACTGAGGACTCGTTGGTGAGCAAGGGTCATTTTTGTGGGTTGGACTTGTGAACGGCATCTCTCAGTCACACAGTCCATCACAAGCAACACATTAAGGCTTAACTGTATCACACAGTCACATTAATAGCAAGAAATGTCTCACCCATGAAGGAGCCTCCAACCAACCAACCTATGCAACTGTTATTAATATTATAAAGGAAATAAAGGGAGATGTAAAGAATCAACCATAAGAGGACACAGAAAATCTCCATCTCCATCTCCCTTTATTTCCTTTATAATTATTTTTTTCACTATTATTTGAGAGAGGAGGTTCTGACCACATAACTAGCTCTTCTGTGAGCTAGCTATCCAGTAATTCAATGGTCATAAAACTTAGAACTAACTGAAGATGATGAAATGACTCTAACTCAATCCAGTGTAAGATTTGAAAATATCACCATAATTACCTTTTTCTTCAGTCTTCTCTGCTCTTTCTTGCTTAGTTTCTGAACATCCACTGCTTCGTCTATTCAAAAATAATTTCCCAATAAGCTCATGCAGATAGCTAGTATGACAAAGTTTAGTGGCATCATAGTAAAAAAAAAATTACCCAATGCAGGGCTCGAAATTAAAAATAGCCTCAGGTCGCCTTTTGGCGACCAACGGGAGAAATATAGTCGCCAGATGCAAATTTTTAGTCGCCAGTTTGTATAATGTAAATGATGCAGCTCATAGTATGGCCAGATCCATCAGATTTGATTGTTTGAAAATATCATGGACAGAAGTCAGTATAAATTTCGAGGTAAACTCCTTTGTTTATGCAATTTGGCACATTTTTTATGACGAAAGCAAAGCAAGATAAGATGAGTATGAGATGTTTGTTTTAACGTTACTCGTTTAATTCAAATATAAATCATAGAGAAAGCTGGTCGCCAAAGTGGCGATTAAATCAGAAGTTTTAGTCGCCAAGGAGAAAATATTAGTCACGTTGGCGACCGTAGCAGTCGCAATTTTGAGCCCTGCAATCGTGTAAAAAATGTAAAAAAATGGACAATTTAACATTATCTCATACTTCTCTGCGGCTCCAAATGCAGAGTTTCACATCATTCATATCTAAATAATACAATTTCTTCTAACTTGATTTTTTCTCCTTAAGATATACATATTTTGTGCGGCCACAACGAGTCAAAAAACATCAAGAAAAAATTGGGTTCACCATTCTCCTTTCATCGCAAAAAGACAACAATAAGAGAATTTTGGTTCCAAATGATCATTTTATACAAAGGGCTGGGGCGAGTTTCAAGACCAACACCATTAATTTTTAGTCGGGAATAGTTATCATAATCTCTGTTAAAACCAACTGGACTACAAAAGGGGCCTTTGTTACCTCTCTTTAGGCAACCAGTAAAAATCACTGCCACCTTTTATGTCACAATGATAGATGCAGTGGGTGCCATTTAAAACAATAAAACAAATAAAAATAACCATCGTAAACTTGCTGTGTTGGTCTGTAATTAATTAGTTGATTTGATTAAATTTGTCGGTATGACAGAGGGAAAATTTAGTGAGTAGGTGGGGGGGAGTTCACAAGAAAACTTTATATGACAAAAATAAACTGAAATAAATTGCCTTATTGTGACACACTACATGGACATGATTCCATGTTTGATATTTGCAGGAAAGGATTATGACTTATAATTGCAAAGATATTGAATCGAAATAAAAAGCCGGTCACTGGCGGTCACGTGGAACAAGTCAGAGCTTTTTTTCTTCGATACTTTACCTGTATCTCCCTTATCAACACTTTCCTCGGGAGGATTATAATTCACAAGAACGGCACTTTCTCCTTCGTCATTCCCTGCAGCAGTTTCGCCGTCATTCTCGCTTCCATTTTCTGTCTGATCCGCGGATGTGGCCACTGATCCCTCATCTGAATTCAAGTTCAGCTGTGAAAGATCTTCCTCATTTCCTTGTTCGGCTGCCTCAACAGCTGCAGCAAGATCTAATTTTTTCTTACTCTGAGCACTCTTCTGGCCATGTAATCACATAAATCTACAATATAATAAAAAAGTAACAAACCTCTTCCAGTAACTCAAGTCGCTTCTTGTCAGCCTTCAACACCACATCAAATGCAGGTGCCTCAGTAGCTTCCACATCTAAGGAAATACGAGATACCAGTATGCAGAATGATTCAGTTTTTCTATATTTTTTTTCCCACAAGGAACAAAAGAGCAGCTTCACTCACTTACCTTGCTCACAAAGTAAGACATCAATGTTTGGAGGAATGGCAAGCTTTCTGGCAGCAATATGTGTTAAAAGAGTTGTTTTTCCCATGCTGTTAAGAGAAGAATTAAAAACAACATACTTATTTTACATGAACTTAGTAAAATGGTGTGACAATTAAGCCACTCGGTTAGCTTAATTGAATAAGTACCAGGCTGCTGAGCAGGAGGCTGCTGGTTCAAATCCTGGCCAGACCAACACTCAGGGTCTTTGAATCAGGGAGGAGAAAGTGCTGCCTTTGAAGAGAATGAATGAAGAGTTGTGGATGAGAGGACAACAGACGTGCCCTCTTACAATATATTATATAGTAAGCTCGGATGTCAGCACACAAAGGCACCACTGGCAGCCGCTCTCAGTCCATTTATGAGCTTACTGTACCCACCCAGCCCATGATGTGAATGATGTGATGTGTGTAGGTTGACCACAACACCAGGGTCTACGCCCCCTACTCTTTTTGAACAGTGGTGTGGGTTCCCACAAGAACCAGATAAGTGTAAGTGCTGTGAGACAGGACCTACAGTTTTTCGTCCTTATCCGAGAAGACTAGAAAGTCTAACCATTTGCAGATGTCATTACAAAGGCAGCACTTTCTTCTCAGTTATTTAAAGACCCTGAGTGTTGGTCCGGCCAGGGTTCGAACCTGTGACCTCCCGCTCAGTAGACCGGTGCTCTCCCAATTGAGCCAACCAGGCGGCAGTAAAAGACATCTATTAAAGACATCTGCAAATGGTTAGATTTTTTAGTCTTCTCGGATAATATAAGGGCGATAAACCATATAGGCCCTATCTCACAATCCTTGCACAATCATTTACACCACTATAAATTCTGTGGGATGTCAAAGAACCCACACACTGTTAGTAAAGGGGAGGGGATGTAGTCTCCAGTGTGGTGGTCTATCTCTTATGAGGGGTGAGGGACCGTTACAGGCCTGCAGTAAAATTATTGGCACCATGCATTGTTGTGATGACCCTGCCAGGAACTGGTCAACCTAAGCAAATAAACATTTTACTTATAGGTTAAGCAGAAGCAGTATGTAATCTGCATGTCACATGGTTAAAACACCCAAACAGTATTTGTATTTCATGGGAGACCTTAACATTTTGATTACATTATGCCTTTTACTTACAGTATAATAAGAATAATACTCTCACTTAACATTAGTCTAGTTTTAAGAGTACGTGTAAAAATAGAGCCATTATATAAACCACTATGCCATCAGGACTGAATATCACCCTCTTGTAATAAAGGTTAATATACAGATTTAGCCAGGGCTAGCTAAAAGCAAAGCTTTTGTTAATATACTTATACTCAAACAAAAAATAAAATCACGTAACACTAAATGGCGATCAGCTACGAGAATGACAAAAAAATCTGTAGGTCATAATTAGCAAAAAAACAACTTTGCTCATGCGGCACACTTTTTTGTACATTTCTCTGTTGTTGTTTTGCATGACTACAACGTGAAACTTCCTTGTTACATGTTTGAGGAAATCTTGTATGTGTTCCTCTTTGTTTGTTATATTTTTCATTGCCGCTCATTTTCACCTTGGTGGCCACTAGCATTTCTCATTTTCTCACTGCTGCTATAAACTTTTCACGTTTTTCTTCCAACAAATTCATCTCCTTTGTTTTTTTTTTTTATCTCTCAGTCTACACCCTGGCTTACATGAAGGGATGGAAATACATATGGATGTAAGTATGGATGATCTTCTCAGAACCAAAATTTCTTGCATGCATAGATAATCAAATTTTGTTTCCCATGGTGCTCCACCATAATTTAATATTTACATCATCAGTATTACTTTCATCTACTGGAAGCACAGGCCCCCACAACAGTGAGTATCTCACCCATTTGGTCCAACCAAGCCATACCGACGACCAGCAGTGATGTTAAGATTTGCATTGACAAACAGATCTTTACCACGAGCAGAAATGCTGAATTTCTCAACCTACAAAACAGTAATAAATAATGATGAACTTCACTTTTAAAACCTTGTCACATGTAGAAATACCTGCATATTCATCGCAACAGTTATTTTCAAAACCAGTAACATCATTTTGAAGTAATAATTACTTCAATTTGGAACATCAAAAAAAATCATATGAGGAAGTCATTTTAATAATAAAAAATGATTAATTTACCTTTATATCTAATGCATTTTCTAAAACTGCACCCTTTGCAGATGACTCCTGCTGCGAAACAGAGAACTGAGATCCTGCAACTTCTTGGGCCTCCATTTCAAATTTTTGCTACAAAAGGGAACACAATAAAAATTATCTTTTGCTGCAAATTTTTCTTCTTTTTCATCGGCCAGTTACATGTAAGCTACAACAGTTACATGTTAGCCTAAGCCACAGACAGAATTAAACTGCTGGTCAAGTCTGTATGCGAAACAGCGCCAAAATCCTAGTTCTGGGTCCCTACCTGTGCACCAGGATTTGAATATGTGCCACGATTGGACTATTCAAAAAGCTATTACTGATATGCAATCGGGTTGCAGGGAAATTTTACATGCACTTCTGGCACTTGTTGAGTCTGTCAAGGGCCCAGGACAAAGTTCTTGGCACTGCTTTGCAGATGTTACTAACTGGGGTTAGAAAAATGCCCTTTTCAATCCTATTCAGGGCTGTCACCAAGGGCCAAGAGCTAGGGATTTTCCCTGGCTACACATACAGGGAGCATGACCCCTTATCACTTTCACAGGAAAAGAAGAGAAAAACTGAACCAAAAGAACTTCCCAGCTGTTCAACTCCTCACCAACATGTACTCATGTACACACCCTACAAAGAGAGAGGAGGTTCTGACCATATAATTAGCTCTTCTGTGAGCTAGGTACATGTAGCCACTAATTCAATGGTCATAAAACTTAGAACTAACTGAAGATGATGAAATGACTCTAACTCAATCCAATACATATAAGGGAATGTTAGATTTGAAAATATCACCATATTTACCTTTTTCTTCAGTCTTCTTTGCTCTTTCTTGCTTAGTTTCTGCACATCCACTGCTTCATCTATTCAAAAATAATTTCCCAATAAGCTCATGCAGATAGCTAGTATGACAAAGTTTAGTGGCATCATATAGTAAAAAAAATTACCCAATACAGGGCTTGAAACTAAAAAAATCCTCAGGTCGTCAGGGTTGTCATTAAGAGCCAGCTACTAAGAGAGTGGCTCCCGGCTACTTTTATTGGAAAATAGAAGAAAAATAGAACCAAAAGAAATCCCTAGCAATTTGATTCCCCGCCTACTTGTTGTGTTTACCCAGCAACTTGAAATCTTAGTGACAACCCTGGGTCGTCTTTTGGCAACCAACGGGAGAAATATAGTCACCAGATGCAAATTTTTAGTTGCCAGTTTGTATAATGTAAATGATGCAGCTCATAGTATGGCCAGATCCATCACATTTGATTGTTTGAAAATATCGTGGACAGAAGTCGGTGTAAATTTTGAGGTAAACTCCTTTGTTTATGCGATTTGGCACATTTTTATGACGAAAGCAAAGCAAGATAAGATGAAATTAACGTTTGTTTTAACTTTACTCTTTTAATTCAAATCTAAATCATAGAGAAATCTGGTTGCCAAAGTGGCGACTAAACCAGAAGTTTTAGTCGCCAAGGAGAAAATATTAGTTGCATTGGCGACCATAACAGTCGCAATTTTGAGCCCTGCAATCATGTAAAAAATGTAAAAAAATGGACAATTTTACATTATCTCATACTTCTCTGTGTCTCCAAATGCAGAGTTTCACGTCACTCATATCTAAATAATACAAATTCTACTAACTAGATTTTTTTCTCCTTAAGATATATATTTTTTGTGTAGCCACAACGAGTCAAAAACACCAAGAAAAAATTGGGTTCACCATTCTCCTTTCATTGCAAAAAGACAACAACAAGAAAATTTCAGTTCCAAATGATCATTTTAAACAAACGGGCTACGGCAACTTTCACGACCAACACCATTTTAACCAGGAAGAGTTATCATAATCTCTGTTAAAAACAATTGGACTACAAAAGGGGCCTTTGTTACCTCTCTTTAGGCGACCAGTAAAAATCACTGCCACCTTTGATGTCACAATGATATATGCAGTGGGTGCCATTTAAAACAATAAAACAAATAAGAATAACCATCGTAAACTTCCTGTGTTGGTCTGTAATATATTAGTTGATTTGATTAAATTTGTCGGTATGACAGAGTGAAAATTTAGTGAGTAGGTAGGGGGGAGTTCACAAGAAAACTTTATATGACAAAAATACACTGAAGTAAATTGCCTTATTGTGACACACTACATGGACATGATTCGATGTTTGATATTTGCGGGAAAGGATTATGACTTATAATTGCAAAGATATTGAATCGAAATAAAAAGCCGGTCACTGGTGGTCACGTGGAACAAGGCAGAGCTTTCTTTCTTAGATACTTTACCTGTATCTCCCTTATCAGCACTTTCTTCGGGAGGATTATAATTCACAAGAACGGCACTTTCTCCTTCGTCATTCCCTGTAGCAGTTTCCCCGTCATTCTCGCTTCCATTTTCTGTCTGATCAGCGGATGTGGCCACTGATCCCTCATCTGAATTCAAGTTCAGCTGTGAAAGATCTTCCTCATTTCCTTGTTCGGCTGCCTCAACAGCTGCAGCAAGATCTAATTTTTTCTTACTCTGAGCACTCTTCTGGCCAATACTCGTCCCAGGTTACCTCGGCCACCATATTGATGACTGTACATTGAAAAAGAAAATGGCGGCTGCATCTTCAAAGAAAAAGAACGCAAAATCGGGAATTTTCGATAAGGTCAGAAAATTTAAATAGATTTGAGGTGTTCTTAGACTATTTTTATTCAAGGAAAGTGTAATCAATGGTATGTTTTCGTTGTTTACTCTATTATCTTTTGATTATGTAGTGGGCCTTGGGTTCCGACCATCCCGTGAAAATTGATAAATGGGATTGCAATGCTGTTAAGAATACCCTTGATGATGCAGCCAAGAAGGTGAGTTATGTATCTAACTCTTTGAAAACCATTATAACTCATTCATCTGGTCATTGATCTCGTGATTTAGTGTCTTTCCTCATACTAAAATATTAAATGTATTAAAGCTTAATTATAAATTGTCGTTTATAGACTGCAAGAAACATTTTCTTATATGAAAACAATTTTAAATCAACATCAATCGACTCCATCTTTTATTGAAATATGATATTAAAAATTTTCTCAATGCTTGAAAACCCAAAGGTAGCTATAATGCTACTTGTTGTGTCCTCAAAAAAGAAGAAAATACCAAAAAATTAATACATTAACTCCTAGATGCACCTTAAGTGTAAAATATTGTGTATATGTACCAAGGACCAAAAAAGAGGTCGCGAAGCTGGATATTGGTGTCGGTCTTTTTTGAGCTTTTATGGACCAAGATGACGTCAAGATCAATATCCAGCCATGCCTTGGTCGAACTAGCATCCCCCTTAATCTGAATATATTTATTCATCTGCCATGGAATTATCTGGGGTAACCAGCTTTCTTCAGCCTCTACAATAGAGATACACTCAATAAAAAACATGGATGCAAATATTGTGTGGGGCTTTTGCAGAGATGAAGTAACTTTTCTTGGTTTTTGTCTTTCTTTGTTTGGTTTTGTCTAAAGGGAGCGTTTTTCCCCAGGGGGGTACTCCCTAAAATGGCCGGAGTCCATCGGCTCCTGATAATGGCTTATACAGGGAGTTTCTACCCCAAAGGGGTACCTTTTTCAGGCTTCAGCGATATGAATGGGTGGGGATTTCATTAGTTGAACTATATGAAAGTGTAGGGAAATCTGTCATTTTGGTCTGTAATAGGCCCAAAAGGGCTAAGAGGTGCACTTTATACATGTAGCTGTGAAAAAGTCAAGAGAATGTTCTGGTTTTGTGATCTATTCATATTTTAAAGAGAGTGCTTTTACAGCAGTTAAAAGGGATGCAAAATTCTAAACTAGGAATGTGAAAGGGGTAATTTTTGTCAATGGGAGTTGTTCAAAAGGGGTATGTTTTTTGTCAGAAGTGGTGTACAGAAGGGTAAGGGGTTGGATCTCACAGCAGAGCCTCTTCATATAAAACTTTTGTTGAGCATGCTTTTATCTGAAAATTGGGCATCATTCCTACCTCCCTCTCACTATTATACCTGAGCCCCCAATCCTTCAGTCCCTATTATAATAATTTTTTAGTACATGTAAGTTCAATGGCAATCAACAGTTAAGAGTCGTTTTTTGATACAAGTTTATTCAATCAAGGTGTAAATAGCTCCACATGCTCGGCTTAAAGAATGAAGAATATGAATTCACGTGCAAACTAAACTTGAAGTGAACAAATTTTTGTGCAATTTCACTGCTTGAGTTTGTATCAGAATGACTTGTGAAAATGAAGAAATGATCGTCGCAGTGAACGCAATTTATGCAATTGCATAAAGAAGCCTGAAAAAAAAAATAGGACTTCAACGGGGTTTGAACCCATGACCTCACAATACCAGTGCAATGCTCCTCCAACTGAGCTATGAAGCCACTGACGTTGGGAGCAGGTCAAATTTTTTTTTCATTCAGGCTTCTTTACGCAATTGCATAAATTGCGTTCACTGCAATGATCATTTCTTCATTTTCATTTCATTGCCGCAGTTCATATATGATTATTTTATTTCATCTATCATTAACACACAAAATGACTTGTATTGAAACAACTTTGCATAGAAATGACTGGTTTCCCAGTAAAAAAGCATTTACCTGTTATTTATGTTTCAGGTGATGACAGATGCCTTTGGCTACATAGAGGACCATAATGTTACAGATATTCGCTTGGCTATCTGCACTATTTCTTGCTGCTTTGCTCTAGCCGCCTTGATATATGATTATCTCTTTCCTTTCCCTGTCTCTCGGCCCATTCTCACCACCTGTGTGCTTTCGTATCCTCATGATAAATAATAATATAGCAACTTATACTACTGCATGAGAAATGTCTGCAGTTTGATTGGCCTAGAGCAGTGGTATTTCAGCTTAATTTGAAATACCTACATGTGAAAATTACAAACCTTTTGTGGGTAGTAGTGTAAACAAATAATAGCATGATTTGTACGTGATATTTGGCATAAATACCACTAGTGATTCAAAATTGTCTCAAATTTCACTTGCCTAACCGCTTGTGAAATTACGTATAACAATTCTGAAATAACACTTGTGGTATTTATGCCAAATATCACTTACTAATCATGCTATTACCTATCCAAATCTCCATGAAATGTTATGATTTAGGTTATGACATACAGTATCACCCACCTTTTGTAAATATAAGTGGATTAATTTCATTAAAACTATCTGTAAATACTAGTAGCGGGGTTCGTACAGGGTCTTGAATTTTTGAAATCTACGACAAGTACTTCACAAGTGAAATTTTTTTAATGTTGGTCAAATCTTATTAAATCTCACCTGCACATCATGGGATAAGCTCTGTTCCTGCATTTTTTTAAGGTCTCTATTGATCACCTATTTGATAACCTTGAGTCTGTAAAAAAGAAGTTATTGTTTTGAAAAAAGTCTGGAAAAAGTGTTGAATTTTGTATCAAAAATCTGTACGAACCCTTTAGCAGACAAGCCACACCTTCTGCAAAGGATTAATCTACACCATCTTCAGTGGTAATTCACCTAAGAGTGAGCAAGTAACTAAGTTGTTTTGCCATAAAAACATACTTAAAAGTCAAAAGATTGTGAGTTCATGCATGACTAGCCTGCATTACAATAGCCACCATCTATAAATACAGAACAGGCCATTTTGAAATTTTTTTCACAGTTTTCATTTAAATGAATTATATGACAACTCTCTTGCCTCAATGATGGAATCAGTAGTCCAGTAGTTTTGTATGTGTCATAGCCATTTACTTATTTCCAATGTCATGAAACTTTAGACAGGTAAATACAATTCTTAACCCTTTAAGCCCCAATATCCACATACAAATTCTCTAAACTGATCTCCATACATCTCCTTAAAGAATTAGTTGAAAGAATTTGATAAAAGATCATGGAATTTTCTCTATGATGATCATTTTATTAATTCTCATAACTTTATCTCTTGACAGTGAATGGATATTGTTAGGAGAAAATTGCTGTTGGTCACTATTGGGACTTAAAGGGTTAAGCAATATTACTCACAATATCCGGATGTCATGATACAAGCCTGAGACAGTTTGATAACTTTCTTTAACATTAGACTTTCCATAACATGAATCTCAAAAAATCCTCATTCAGCAGCATTTTGTTATAACCAAAACAGGTTTCATTTTAAAGTATTAAGCAGTATTAAACATGATTTTTTTTTTAATTAAAGAATTTATCTATTAGTTGTCCTGATACTCTTAAAATTATGTGATTTGGTTAATACAGCTACCTTAACCAATCTTAGATATTTTATATTGATGGCCGTGCTGACAATCTTCACAACTTTGGTGGAAAAAAATTACATTATGTTTGCTGTCCAAAAGGATGAAGCTGGAGTAGTAAGTATTTTAATACAGTAAAAACCCACGAGTAAGAACCTACATTTTCCAGGGTTAGCCTAAACAGGCTCTTACATAAATGGTGGTTAACATAAGTTTAGGCTATCTAGGTTCTTAACAGGTTCTTAATTTCTTGCAAAAAATTATGTCATTGCTAAGAAGATTTTAGTGATCAGCACCCTTAAATTTGCGTACCTAATGATTGCTTATATTCTAATATGACCATAATAGAGATCTATTCTCAAATGAATTTTAATTTCTTGAGTCAAAACAACTTTATATACATGATTGTCCTGTAAAACACAATATGATAAACATTTTCTCAATGACCTCAATCAAACAACATTTATATATGTACTAACTTGCCTTTTGCAATTGCAATAAGTAAATATTTTGAAATGATTTTTGAAAATAAGAACCTTTGTCCAAATTTTAAGCTAAAGAGGTTCTTATATATAGGGGGTCTAAATTGCAAATTTTAGCATAACAGGTTCTTAAATCTTAGGTTCTTACTCGTGGGTTTTTACTGTACTTATTATCATTGTCATCATTGATTATTATTGTTGCACAGAAGGACCGATTGGAACAGAGCTACTAAAGAATGTATAAAAAAGACTTGAGGCTCATTTGCTAAGTGCTGTTGAGGTTGAAATTTGGAATGTTTGTTGTGCTGTGATATTAATTTCTTTTCTTGCTTCGTCATGTTGGGGGCCTTGTCTCCTAAACATGAACCATTCATACAATGTATTCATATTTCCTCAAATAATAGCTGTCCTGTGATAAATCACCTCCCCTGGGTTATTGCCCCCCTTTGACAAAAATATTTAAACAGTCGCCTCCGTCAAATAATCACCCCCCCCCCCCCACCCCTGACCATCTTCGTTTTCTTTTATTCCCTCCCTGTCAAGTTAAAAGTTGACACCTCAAATAACAAACAAGCCTTCATTTGATTGTTTGATTGCATAGGTTTTGTTACAGTTTTTTCTATGGTAATGTTCATGTATTTCACTTTTTCCTTTATTCCTTGGAGCTCTAGGGAAATAAAACAAAATAATTCTGTAACAACTTCCAGTGAGCAATATTTGAAATAACCACCTCCCTCGAATACTCACCTTCCCTCAAATAATAGCCCTCTTTTAGTGTGCAAAAATAAATAACTGCCACCCCCCGACTTTCGAGGAAATATGGTACTTACATGTATACAAGGCCTTCCAGGTGATAAAAGTCATAGCAGAATCAAAATATGGGACTGTTTGAACTAAACTAGCAAACAGGCTAGTTTTGTTTTCCTTTCTTTTCAGGTCACTAGAATAAAGCCTTGTTCTTTGTCATGCAAAAATAAAGTGAAAGAAGATGTGTAGTTCAGTGCTGTTTCTGTCTACCAATAATAACAGAAATGCGGCTTCCCACACAAGTGAAAAGTGCTTGTTTTTAGTTTTTTCTGGTCTCTTTCATTTTTATGTAACAAACGCACAACTCCCTTTTCCAGTGCATTCAGTGTTCCTGCAAAGCAAACATTTTGATAAATTGTAAGCGTTCTTGCAAATCAGGATATCTTTTTGTTACATTTTCTTGGATTAAGGGTTTTATTGTCCTTGCAAAAAGAACCGCTACGTGGAACTTTGTTAATTCTTTAGAAACTTCTTATTTCTTGCAAAGTCAGCAATTTTTATGCCCTTTCTTTTGTCAACAGGCTCTTTAATTAAGCATATTATTTTTTATCTTGGCTGCATATCTCAGAGAGTTAGTACATGTTGACTTTTTGTGAGGCATTTTGCTGTCCCATAGGTGATACAAGGTTTTATCTTTATCCACAGGCATCTGTTTGTGTGGCTGTTGTTGTTATTGAAGTCTAAGCATTAATCTTTTGTACTTTATAGAAGAAAAACAGAGGAACATTATCATGGCTACAAATGATTGATGTTCAGATTTCACTAACAACAATGGCCACACAAATACAGGGTAGCCTGCCTGTACTTTATTCGCAAATAAAGCCATAGTCGACTGTTATATTTCACAGGAGCCTGATAATCACTTGAGACTGAGTTCGTCACTGAAGCGCTATGATCATCTCTATAACCTAACAGTCACTTACAAAGATGGTGTTACAAAGAAGGAAAGAGAGCAAACTTTTAAAAAGTAAGTTTCATGCAACTGTATGGCACTGTAGTTATTTAAGGTGGTACTGGAGAATAAAACTGTGCTTTTTGTTACTAGCTTGGAGCTGGCCAGTGCATAACACTGTTTGCAAAGTTTCAGTTCAGGGCAATCCCATTTAAGGAACTAAAGTTTTGTTTCTAGGACCAATTTAGCAGGAAAAATTTGGTAAACTGAAAGCTATAAATGCAGTTGTGGTGAAGAAGATTATATCCCTGACAGCAGACAAATTTGACAGTTTTAATATCCAGCCTTGACTTATAACACAATTACACATCACAAACTCCTTTGTTATAGGAGCTTTTTACTTTGGATTCAGGTTATTTTGAAAGGAAATCCTATTTATCAACTTCTCCTCACATACTGAAGCACCTTGACGTTACATGAATTCCTCTAGTTAACACATTTAAAAACATGCACTTACTATGTACTTTAAATACATCCACATCCATGATCGTGTTGTCTGTCACTTTGTACATTTTTGCGCTTCACCCCACAGGGCACAGTGGATTGTGACCTTGATTACAATTAGATTTTACAGTTGATGTCATAAATTGCCTCTGTTTACTGTAGAATTGAATATGAACTTGACCGATCAAAAGAACTTTCTGCACAAAGTTGATCATGATGCTATATATCAGCTTAAAATATCTGTTGCCCCTGGGCATTTCCTATAGAAGTACAATCAACTTTCTCTTAAGCGACCATCCTTGGTGCATGAGAAAGTGGTCGCTTACAAGAGGTGGTCACTCACGAGAAGTGGTCGCTATGAGAGAGTTCACTGTAGTGGAAAGATGTTATTCAAGTGTCAATTAACCTCATCTTATGTGATCATGTCCTTAATTCACATGACTACTCTGTTGTATAAAACACTGGTATAACAAGGAGAAATTCAATACTGAACACTCTTAGGGTATAAGGGGTTGATCAACCACAGCATCTCTTGGTTTCTCTTGTTTCAAGGTCTGTGGCTTCCTGGTTTGATGAAGAAGGAAATCTGCTGTTTGATATTCTGGAAAAAGATATCAAAGAGCTTCATGCTGGAGTTTCTTCAGAAAAGAAGGACAAGTGAATTATTGTTTCACAAGTCATGATATGTTAACTTAGCTTGCAGTTGAACGACAATAAATTAAAAGAAAGCCATTTGTCCGGAATCTGTATTGCTAAATAGACTCAAGAACTGTTTGATTTCTCCACGTAAAAATTTACCCTTGAAGCTTCAAATTCTCTTGACTGATCTCCATACATTTCCTTACCGAATACGTTAAGAGAATTTGTATAAATATCAGTGCATTTTCCATAATGTGATCAGTTTTCATTAATTCTAGTAACATTTTCTCTTGATTATGAATAGATACTGACAGGAGATAATAATTAATGTCCATCACTCTTAGGACGTAAAGGGTTAAACCTGCAAGTGCCTTGAATCAACTGAATCTGAGAAATCTAATTAACCTTCACCTCATGGCGGTAGAAGCTTTTTTTTTTAAGTGTGTGAAAAGAACATGGGGATACCTTTATCAGGGTTTTGGTTTTTGCTTTTCTTGCCTCTTTTTTATGTCTTTTGCTGGCCATCTTTTAGTAGGCTTCATTTTGATGGGAAAAGTTTTTAGGAAAGCTTTTTGGATCTTAGGAAGAGTCCAATTCAAATGAAATTCTGGACCACTGTTACAAACATCAGCCCTTATATTAGACATTAATCCTTCTTGATGATGACATGTCATGTTCGGGCATTGTACATTTTGCATTGCTGTAAATACTCTGTAAAACAATTCAAAGGTACTTTCGCGAGTATAGAATGTGTGTTAGATAGCCACGCCAAATATCCAGCTGGAATATGTCTTCTACACTTGGGGAAATGCACAAAGTTTGTGGGTACCATTGTTTTGTCACCAAGTAATTACTCCCTGGAGATGCCGAGTGCTACAATAAAGACTGTTGTAAGTGCCTATTAGTTTGCTCCAAGGGTAGGAATTTGACTCAGAATGGAGACCCAAGGGTGGGGAAATTGACATTTGAAAACCTGAAAATGTCAAATTTCCCATGGGTTGTCCCCCCCCCCCCCACCTCCACCCATCCTGGGGCAAACCATTGATAGGTACATAAATTTCATGGTGCCCAAAGGGGCTACAGTCAATGGGATCTATATGATAACTGCATAGTTTTACACTTCGTTTCAGCTTCTGTGTCAATTCTGCTGATGATGGGAAGCTTGCTCCAGATGGCAAAGTAGTAAGGACAATGGTGGCTCTGTGGCAGTGAGACCTTGCGCCGGAACCCCTACGCCGAGCGTGCAAAGTGTGGGGGTACCATAGTCCTTACTACTTCTCAAACAAATGATTTTAGAAGGAGAAATTAAGGATGCAAAAATTAACAGTTTTTCATCTGATTTCCAAACACTTGTTTGAAAACATTAATCCCCTTTGTATTTTCTTTATGAATTATTAATAAGTTGGAGAAGGGTACTTCAACATTGAAGTTACCATAGCAACAGAGTTTTGATAGCCATGTTTTTCAAAATTTGCCTTGTTCCTCTAAAAACGGATTTATTTTTATTTCTACTGGTTGAAATTTAGCATTAGACTTAAATTAAAATTAATTGTCCTAACTTTTAGTGTAATCCAGGATTTTTAGTGATTGATTTGAGAAAAAATATGAATTTAAAATGACCAAATTGCAGATGTTGGGTTTCAGTTCTTAACAGTGATAATTTCTCACGGAAGTTCATAAATTGCAGATTTGCTTTCTAAGCATCCTTTTGTACACAGATCAATTTTTCTATAACAATTACCTCAATTTATATGGGGTTTCAAGTAATATGAAATACACTTCAATAATTCAAAATGGGGGATCCTCAATGGAAGATGACTCCAGACCCTTCTTTAACAGTGAAGTCATAATGACATCACTGCTATTGTTAAAGATCGTTAATAAGTTTGTCAACTTCTTGATTTTGACTAGTCTGCTACACAGCTGTTTTTAGAGTCATCACGCAATACTCCTCCCCTGTGTAGAAGACTAGATTTTGACAGACACCTTACCATTGAGGGGAAAAATTGATGGAATTTGGATTTTGCCAAAAAATTTAACAATATGACATCATTTTGGCAATTACGTTATGCCTAGATGTTGAAACAATGAGTACATTATTCTGTGTAATCTTGGTGGCCATATCATGAGCAGTTTTGAATTTAAATGGGGGGCTCCAGTCTGACTGGGTTAAGGGAAGTACACCCGGTTCATGGCAGAAGAAGAATTTTTTGAAAGAGTCCTTTTAAAAAGATAGACAGCATTTAGATATTTAGGGATGACAAATTTGCTCATTTAAATGCTTATGACATGTACCCTGCAAGCAGTGGTTTATCCACTGAAAGGACGTAGCGTCCAGCCTGGAGAAACCACTGCTCGCAGGGTATACGACATGCTAAAAAAACATTTAAAAAAACCTGCTCCAGATTACCCATTAGAAGAAAACACTTGTAAATGTTCATTATTCTTTTTATCTCTGTGAAATTGGAGCTCAGTTGTCTCCAAAGCATCCAATATAGGAGTGTAACACAAGCAAAAGTTTGCCTTATGAATCTATTCATGGTAGGTGTCCCATACTGTAACTGAAATACCAATCCAAACCAAATAAAATTTTATGCGATTCACCAAGATTTAGCTCTACTACTTTTTCCCAGCACTAGAACACTAGAATCAATGTAACACCCACTTGCCTGATCTTACAAAAAGCTCTTTACTCATGATAGACTGTTGAAAGACTTGAAAAAATCATACTGACATAACTTTCAAGGTTCTATAGGTTAATATGGGGTCCCATTAATTATGGTTTACTAGTATATTTCAACACCTTAGAGTACAAAATATTAATTTATGTAGCTTCATAATTAAATCTTTCACGCAATTATACTTTGGGAATTCAGCTCCTGACCAGGAAAAATTTATTCTTGTGAAACTGCCCCATCTTATTCTATATCAGCAGATAAGTATAATTTCAAAGACTCAGAGGAATAAATTTCTGCAATAAATTGTTTTCAAACCACCTGCGTTGCAACCCCCACTTTGTAAGGTACCTGTAGTACAGTAATATTTAACTTTCAAGCACCCCAAACCACTCCTGGTTATTTGGTTTACCACTGGCAAATTATTTATAAGTTATAACCTCTAATCAAGCCAAGTGAATTAAAAAAAGGAATACCAAAAATAATAATTTTCACAGTGAATGAAAATAAAATTAATCACTTTCTATAATCTGACAATCAACAACCCTTATGTTCATGGCTTGCAATATTAAATCTTTACTCATTCACTAAACTGTAAGTAAACCTGATTTAAATTCAATGTCCAATACATTCATTAAAATTAACACTGTGCAATAATTATGTTATACATTCCATGTCACTGTGGTAAGGAATAAATTCCTTCTCTTCAGTTTGATAAAAGAGCGACTGGGTGCAAAAATGATTCAATTAATAAATAAAATTAAAATTTTCACTTGTTATTAATAAGTATTGATAAATACCAAAAACAGACCATTGTGATACAAATATTTGCTCAATCTAGACACTATCTGGTGGGTTATGGAACTTCAAAAATCATAGAATGTCAGAGCAAAATTATGTGACATAAAAGTTATTATGACATACAATTTATCAAAAAGAGATTGATTAACAATACAAGTGTACCAGTAGCCTACTTCTTCCCCATGCAACAAGTTTAACATTTCTGATTTCCCAAAAGCTGTCACACAAGACAGCATTATTAATTTGTTATTATTGGGCAAATGACTCCTAAAATCTTAATGACAAGCCCAATTTAAAACAACCTTTCATAGAGAAATCTCAACAAAATCATAGAGAAATATTCCTGTTGCCCACTAGGAAAGGCCAATATTGTAAGTCTAGGCTGTGCTCTTAGAAAATAGAAAAATTCTAGGGAGCCCAATGTTCTGAACCTATGAAATCCAGGGTGCTCAGCATATGATTTCTACACACAAGCCAGACATTTCCCTGTCACACAAGGACAAAAGCAAGATGCAGGGGACATCAGACGTTGATAGAGAACAGCCACAAAGTGTCATTACACCAGCAATTACATTGAGACACTAGAAATGCACTCTTTCATTGACAAAAAGATGACCCACTGCAAGTTAAACACAGATGAAAGGACAGCAGTCTTGAGTCTCAGATATTTGACAACAAAGAAAAACAATTAAAACTGCACAGAACATTTTAATCCCTATACTATCCAACTGACTAATCCCAAAAAATTAACATTCCCACTACAGGAGTTATGAATTAAAGAAACATGAATACAGTTCTTCCATTTCATTCTGTACGGAAAATTCTATAGTGACTAGCACTATGTTAACCTGTTACAAACTATTGTTTTTTCTTATTCTACAGAAAAAGAATTTTTCAGAGGTTTTCTTACAAGGGACGAATGAAAAGCTTAATTTTTAACCAACTGCAATGTTGAGAATTTCACAACCTCCATTGTAATTAAACCATGTTGCTGTGTGCCACTTGCATGACATTGGCTAAAGGTCCAAACATTTGACTTGTAAGAAAGGGGTTGGGTATTTGGTTTTGGCAAGAGTTTCTTTCCAAGTCCACTCCTCTGGTCAATTTTTTCTTTATGTTTTGGTGTTATTATAGAATTTTAAGAACTAAATGCAAGAATTTTTTTTCTGAGTCTGTTTGCAGAATATTTTTTTTTCTGAAATCATATGACACCCATTCCACAACAAAAGTAAAAAAAAATATGTAGAGGTGCCTTAAATAAAGCCCTAAGTGACTTCTGATAAAATTCCAGGTTCTTCCTTGCATGCAAGGGAGCAGTAACATGCACAAAACTAACTTTTCTCAAAAACGGTAATAATAACAATAATACTAGTAATAATCAAAGTCTGAAAATGGAGTGCATCAACCAATCTCAATATCAGTCTTTCTGTTCTTTAGCAAGTTGGTGGTGATGTCATTTGCCCTCCGTAAACTTTACAGGGATAACAGATACATGTCTTAAGGACTATTCAATCAGTTAATCAACAACAGGATGTTCCACTTTTTATCCACACCACCCCTCCACCCTAAAGATTGTCGGAATCCGAAACCCAAAGGATTAATTTGTTGTTGGCACCTTTGAAAAAGTTGCCTGAGGCTCCAAATTTTGTCGGCTTCTTTAAACTGAATGCCCCTATGAAAAAACCCGCCAACCTTAGCTTGGGAGGGGTGTGCGGATAAAAAATGGAAAATCCCATTGGTTGTTACCCATGCAATCTCACTCCAATCAGGCTGTATTTTTTAAGATGGTAATCTCATTTCAATCTGTATTTCTTTATGACTGAATTCTACATTTAACACAATGAATAAATTTGCTAAATAAGGATAATTATGAGATAAACTGATTACAAGTCTTATCTTAAAGTATAAATTTTGTTCCTCTCACAAAAACTCCATCGGATTAATCTGATGTTTGCACATGAGCAGAACTTGCTACACCATCTTAGACTGTAATGAGCCACCTCCAACAGTAAACTACTGCCAACAAATGATAGAGAAAACTATAACAAGGATTTGCCAGTTTACATTAAATTACGTCATATTTTTCCTCAAGGATGGGAGTTTTGTCCATTGTTTCCTCAGCCATTATAAATACAAAAACAAGTTTACTTCTCTGTCATTCCTTTCACTTCGCCCTTATTTCTCATCTCATCTAAATCTCGTTTAGTCTTGTCCTCGAGCGCCCTGATGTCTTCAATTGTCATTCCGAACCACTTATCGATCCAACAGAATAACTGGCGATGGAAGTTGGTAAGAAGGCGTCTAACAGCTCTGAAGATTATCTTCTCTACTCTTGTCTGTAAACCCCACCACTTAAATTTATAGCGATACAACTTATAGCACGTCATTTTTGGATAATCCTGGCTTTTCGTCCAGTCCGGGGAAGTGAGTGGTCCTCGGCCGGTCTTCTCTGACTTGAATTTGGCAGGATCTTCGTCCTCTTTGTAATCAGCAGAAGAAATGACTGTATTATCAGATATCTCTATATCGACGAACTCTCTCTTCTGCAACTCATCTCGTTTGAGTTCGTGAACATTGTCCTTGTCACGAATTCCTTCCATGTGCCAAGTATCGATTTTAATAAAGAAGTCATCCTTCATATAGTCGGGGTTAGAATATTCCGTTCTACAATACGGATAAGCATTCCACGCTTTCTCGTGAATTTCTAAAGAACCTTTTGGCGCTAAAAGACGAACAAATCCTGGCACTTTACTTGCCAAATGGAAAACTTTATGGGTGTACTGACATTTACCGTACTTTTCGTGGTCAAGGGGTGCGTTTTCTAGAACTTCAATTCCTTCCCCACCTCCCGTTTCGTTCTTGCTTGCTTCTGCGACGGCATAGAGCTGCCCTATATGATATTCTTCAACGGAGATAGGCAAAGGTATTCTGAATTCATGTATCTGATAATCCATCATTCAACAGACTAACTAAAAACCGTGGAAACTGTTAAGTACTTGCCGGCAGTGGCAACCTAAAAAGTTAATGGCGGCTTGCAATGTGCTCGAGCGGCTTTTCCCATGACGTAAGGGAAACCACAAAGCCTTGCGAAATACTCCCAAATGCATGCCCAAAGTAGTTTTAACCGCTGATCAGCCCCTTTTAGTAGGGTGGGGCTCAGAGGGGTAATTCAAATTTTAATCGTATAATCTGCAAAGGGTATATATCATCACGGCAGTTGTGCAGATGTGCATGTGCTTATGCTAAAAATACAATAATTATGGTGCCAATATTAAGTTTAAAAAAAGCGTCACCTTTTTTTAAAATGGCACCGAGTGAAGGCACATGTCTGCTTTTCAATGATACTATTTGGTAAGGAGTTCCAGTCTCTGATTTTACGTGCAATAAAACTGTGTTCGTATTTGTTTGTTTTAGCACCAACTTGAATGAATTTCTTAGGGTGGAATTACCTAGTGCCCTGTCGCCTTTTAAATAATAGATTGGGTGGAAATTGTATATCTGATAGACCTAAACATCATTATGTTTATCTTTGGCCCATGTAGCTAAAACTCGAGGCAATAATATGTATTCAAGCACGTGCTATTTATTTTGGAAGGTTAAATAAAGGAGTGAGTTTTGTTTATTATTGTTCTTGCAAGGCAATTTTTTGTGAGGATGAGTGACTGAGGATAGCTGAAAATTTTGAATTCGACCCTTTTGATTTTCAACCTGTTTTGAGCAGTGCAAGTGTGAACAAGAAACCCTTATAAAGTCGTATATCAATGGTCAGTTCTTGATAAGTGAAAGTCTCGTATTCTCTGAAGATTTGCACAAGTTTGCTGTTCTGAATCAATCGGTAATCCTTCCTTCGTGCCGCAGCCAAAAAGGATCGAAAATTTTCAATGTAAACTTAGTTTATTTATTTTCAGGTTGAATGCCATGTATCATGACGGGCGGTATGATATGGAAAACCTACAGTCAACTCCCTTTTTGGTGGACAATGTAGGGACCTCGAGTTAGTGTCCTCTTTAGCGAGAGTCCGAAATAGCAGGAGTTTATTTCAGTCAAACGTCTGTAATTTGTTTTTACCGGGGATTTAGCTACTGTCCGTTTTATCGGGGTGTCCATTATAGCCCCAGTGGGGGGGAGGGGTACTGCGGATTTCAAGTGACAGAGATTATCGGGAAAAATTTTGGCAGGTTCTCAAAATCCTGACCCTATTTCAGACCAAAAATGTCATTTTTCAAACCCGTTTTCAGACTTGGCCCCTAAGAAATAATGTCATCATTACTTACGGTAGATTAGAACAGCAACAAAAAAGATTTCTCAAAATACATTTCGAACCAAACGATAACTACGTTCATTCACTCCCGAAGTTCCTTCGAAAACCATACCCGATTTCAGACCGAAATGGGCAAAGTCCAGACCAAAACGGCTCAAAACCCTTACCCTTTGGGGCGGCACATATCTATACTATAAGGCAAATACAGGAGCGATAAATATAAGGAAGAACCCCCCCCCCCCGGGAGTATTGTTAAAGTGTGGTCTCCTTTAGGGGTTAGATAAATATTTCTGATGCCCGATAAGCATTAGCCTGCGTGGCAGGTGTTTGAGGGAGAAACGCCCAAAAACGCGAAACGCGAGGGGCGCGCCCCTCGCGTTTCTCTCGCGCCTAAAATTCCCTTCCCCAAAACTCCTTTTCTCTTCCCTTTCAAACGCCTGCCACGAAGGCTAGATAAGCATTAGCCTGGGGACTAGGCTTCGCAGTTGGGAAAAAGCGAAAAGCGGGGTGAAACGGCAAAAAAAGTTCCCTCCCCAGATTTTCCCCCCGCTCGCTTTGCTCGCCAATTTTTTCCCCATTCCCGTGGACGACAAGCACTTGGTTCAATCGAGCAAAACGCGCGAGACACGCAAATAACCGCGCGCGTGCCCTCGTTTCTCGCGTCTAGCGGCTTCGCCTGTCGCTGCTCGCGCACGTGCACCCCGCTCACCAAATCTGAAGAAAAAGAGAAACTGCTCGGTCTAGCACTCCCGTCGCGTCCCTTGCATATGGGAGTCACCCCTCGGGGTGATACTGGGGAGAGACGTGACGAAAACTTTTTCTTTCCCCTCACACGCCCCCGCCCCACGCCTTATTGATAAAGTGATTTTGAGGAAAAACAAAGCCGACTGTTTTGCAGTCGCGACTGGTGACCCATCCAGCGTCAGAGCTAGAGCCAACAATAATAGGAAGACTACATCCATACCAGGGCTAAACCGGAGTGGCCCGGCCCTTTTCACAGCGAGTTTCGCGAATTAAGGTTTGCGACTCATAGTCTATCACCTATTTCTAATAAATTGAATGGTAAAGGATAACATCCTCGTAACAGCAAAAATTCACTTCCAATTTTATTGTAATTTTTGTTAATGTTCTCGTGATTTGAGGCACGTTTGTCGTCAGGCACCTGCATTCGTACAACTTTTTCTTTGTATTTATTCATGCCTCAATATTATAAATACTCACATCACGCCCGAATGCCCGCATGACCTGTTGACCTCTAAAAGAGAAACCAACGCCCGACTCAGGACAAAATATTTGTCTTGCACATGGAATTAGCCTCACATTGACCGTTTTTTTGACTATTAATAAAATATGCATAGCCTGTACGTGTGTTCGGTATAAGACCAGCGTCTGACTTCCTAGCTACAAAAACCATTAACGGAAAAAACAGCAGATCACCGTACATTTGTTAGCGCGCGGGGTTATGCATAAATTATATTTTTTCTTCGGACCAATCAGAGGCCTCCAGAAAGGTTATTCCAAGTGTTTGAGAGTCGTGAGTTCACCTTGCAATTGCGAAACGCCATGTCAACGATGGCGTCCTCCAAACTTCTTTGCCTTTCTTTTTTTTTAGTCGTCGTTGCAGCTGCTTCTCCCATGCTTCTTAAATTCCACGACTTTTCTAACTCAGTCTGGGGTGAAATTAGGTCCAAGATGCAAACGGTAAACCCATGGCTCTTGGCTCTGGGTTCCTTATTGCTTGGGTACGTTTTGTGGAAACTTTGGAGAATTTTATTTTTGCCTTTAGAAATGAAGCGACAACTCCATGAAACTGGTTATTTATCCGATGGAAAGCGACCATTAAAAGAAATAGCAAACGAAGTTCGAAAACGGAGGCAATGTGGCGATATTCCACCTGTGTATCCCAATGGTTGGTTTCACGTCCTCGCGTCGCGCGAGCTGGCGGTCGCTGAGGTAAAGTACGTTTCTATGCTAGGCGAGCAACTAGCAGTTTTCCGGGGAACTGATGGTAAAGCGCATATTGTGAACGCTTATTGCCCTCATCTGGGAGCTAATCTAGGAATTGGAGGAAAGGTTGTGGGAAATTGTCTACAATGTCCATTCCATGGTTGGACGTTCCGCGGCGAGGATGGCAAGTGTGTCAAGATCCCGTACAGTGACAAAGTGCCCGATTTTGCAAAAACCAAGGCTTGGCCTTGTTTAGAGGTGAACTGTACAATTTATATGTGGTATCATGCGGAAGGAACCGAGCCCACTTGGACACCGGATGTAATAGACGAGATCAAAAATGGGTCTTGGACGTATCGAGGGTTTACACAACACTGTATCAATGCACACATTGAGGTAACCTATTTTTGTTTATTCTTTTAGATTTTTCTGTTTCATCAAATACAAAGTAACAGCTTTGGCAAAAGAAAGTTGAAAAGTGTAGTGGCGGGAGTGGCAATTATTTTTTTAAGCTTTATTAAAGTGTTCCGCGTTCCATGACGTTNAACTCCATGAAACTGGTTATTTATCCGATGGAAAGCGACCATTAAAAGAAATAGCAAACGAAGTTCGAAAACGGAGGCAATGTGGCGATATTCCACCTGTGTATCCCAATGGTTGGTTTCACGTCCTCGCGTCGCGCGAGCTGGCGGTCGCTGAGGTAAAGTACGTTTCTATGCTAGGCGAGCAACTAGCAGTTTTCCGGGGAACTGATGGTAAAGCGCATATTGTGAACGCTTATTGCCCTCATCTGGGAGCTAATCTAGGAATTGGAGGAAAGGTTGTGGGAAATTGTCTACAATGTCCATTCCATGGTTGGACGTTCCGCGGCGAGGATGGCAAGTGTGTCAAGATCCCGTACAGTGACAAAGTGCCCGATTTTGCAAAAACCAAGGCTTGGCCTTGTTTAGAGGTGAACTGTACAATTTATATGTGGTATCATGCGGAAGGAACCGAGCCCACTTGGACACCGGATGTAATAGACGAGATCAAAAATGGGTCTTGGACGTATCGAGGGTTTACACAACACTGTATCAATGCACACATTGAGGTAACCTATTTTTGTTTATTCTTTTAGATTTTTCTGTTTCATCAAATACAAAGTAACAGCTTTGGCAAAAGAAAGTTGAAAAGTGTAGTGGCGGGAGTGGCAATTATTTTTTTAAGCTTTATTAAAGTGTTCCGCGTTCCATGACGTTCACTGAGTTCGCAAGTAGAGAAATGTCACGTAACTAAAAAGGTTTAAGAATTAGATAAGGCTTAGCGTGATATGTCGAGAAGTTCTCAAGTTGAACAGCTTCCTTATATTTTTCTTGAACAAAAATCCACAGGATAGGCGATTCTTTTATTTCATTTTTGTGCTCAGTCGAGTGTTTACATAGCTGCAATCTATTTATGCAACTGTTAGTTAAATGTGCTTTAGTTATAGAGAAGCTCTCTTTCCACATTAGTCATATGGATATCGAACATATGATAGTTATAAGTGTACGTTGTGATATCAAAATGCAAGAATGTTTTAGAAAATGAAAGAAAAACAAAATAGAATCAAAGGAGAGTGTAAATTGTTTAGAAGAATCATTAATTGCCATAGTAATTGTGTTGCCTTGCTTGCTTGCCTGAGGCAAATTTCACTGCATAAGAATGAGCCTTTTCCTCACGTATTCCGTGCTGATACTTTCAGTTTCTGTTCACTACTAACAGTGGCCGATTTGTGGGAGTTTGAAAAAAATCCTAACTTCCATGTTGGGAAAATTATACAGAAAGGCCAATAGAACCAAAATTATATATGCAAAGTTCCAACTTAAAGGTTATTGCAAGATTAAACTAATCAAATTTATAGATAAAACTATAAAGTTTTGTTGAGGGATGCAACTATCATATAACATTTGAACTTAAAATGATTGACCGTGGATGACATAATTTTTGTCATGTAATGCGTGGTTCAATTTGATTTGTAACCATCCCGTCCTCCCCGGGCACACCCCCAGGGATTTTCAATTTTTTTCTTTTTTGGAGGCCTATTCCCCACCCCGGGCAAGCAGAAAGTGACATCATTCCCCACCCTCGAGCTCCCGATCGACTTCATATACGTCTTTTGGTCCTGGGGGGGGTACTTTAGGAATTTCTGGGTGGGGATGTGCCACAAAATCCGCCCTATCCTAGAGTAGCTGTTTTCCAGAAACTACTGAGGTCACTAGCACAGTCTAGCCAAAACAAAACCTTATACCACAATCCCTAGTCTAGATAAAATCTTCAACCAACTGATCAGTTTCCTGGAAAATGATACCCTATTCTAGACCCAAACGCTCTGATTTATATACCCTATCCTAGAGTAAACTGCTTGAAAACCATACCCTTCACAGCAGCACATACCCATATAGCCCATATATGGTGGTACCCCCCCCCCTCCCCCAGGCTTTTGGTACATCTTTTTCATCCATACAAAAGTGAAACAAGATGTTTTCACAACTTTTATAAATGTTTCTCTGAGTTTATTGAGAGAAGTATAATGGATGTCATAATGTAGTTAAGACATGAACCATGAATTTGAAAATGGACCGAATCTCTGTTTCTCTCTATATATCAAAAGCGTTGTATTCGTTTTCACATAAGTTTTCTTATCGTTATTTAAAGGGAGGCTGAAGAAGTATTTCTAATTACAAATTTTATATTAATTTATCACATCTGTAATTTCTACTCATTTCTTTGATCAAGTTCAGATATTTTTCCCTGAGTGGGAGAGGGTGACCTGAGTAACATGTTCTTAGTGTCAATTATAAGCACAAGAATTTTCATGCTGCTTTGAGAACACTGCTGCACTAAAAAAATCGCAATTTATCAATATTTATAATGTTTTGCAATATTATTTCAAGGAGGTTCCAGAGAACGGGTCAGATATCACCCATCTAAACCACCTCCATACCTCACCATTCATCACTGGAGCTGACCTGAGATACAACTTTTTGGACTGGTGCCAGGTGGTTGCACATCACAGCTGGTCAGCTCAGTGGGAACCACATGAAGATGAAAAGCATGTTGGCCAACTGCAGTTAACACATTCCTTTGTTTTGTTTGGGTATAAAATTCCATCGCTAGACTTCCATGTGACAGCTAGACAGGTAGGTGGTCAGTGTTGTCCTGCAGAAATACCTACACCTAGTTTTTTTAATTTTTAATTTTAACAGTTTTTACAATGTTTTTTAAGATTAATTACTAATTAATTAAAGACTGACATAAAAGAAAAACCAAAGTAAAGATAACACCAACAACAAAAAGAAAAAAGAAAGATGCTATACAAATGAATACAATAAGAAAATAACAAACGAGAAAAAACAAGCAACACTTAAATACATTAAACAAATACATATTTCTTAAAAGGCCAGGCGCCGAAATTATGATAATTACTATGGCCTTTGGGATTTGGGACAACAGCAAGGAGAAATAGAATTTGAATATACGGTACTCTTCTTGCTCCCAATAAAACAAAAACCCCACAAAGATAACTAATGCGGGTTATTAGGGTTGACCTCTAAAAAAGGAAAACAAAAAAGAAAAAGCTACAAGAGACTATTTTTAGTAAGAGGGACAAGAACTAATAAAGCGTTAAATATATTACACTATTGTGACGCAGCCTAGTCTGTTCAATGACATTGTGGACGTCCTTCTGGTAATTTTGCTTTGGAGCTGTAAAGGAGGTCTCCCATGTATTTGAGAGCTCGACCCAATCCCCTTGCACCTTATACCTGTTACAGGTTCTCATTTTGTCTGCAAAAACGAAAGCTAATAAAAATTTGAGTTATGAATGGGTGAATTCAACCAGTGCATCACATGTAAAGCTTTTTGTTTAATCATCATGATAGATATGTTGTGGTTTAAAAATTTCCTTGGTTTAAAATTTTTTAAACCAGTTTAATTTTTGTTTTTTTTTGTCTCTGATTATGGTAATTGATTTTAGACAAAGGAAAGTAAAAATTAAACTGGCTTGAAAAATTTTAAACCAAGGAAAAATTTGAACCACAACATATACATCCCTCTGCAAATTCATTCATGTATGTAGCCCTCAAGAACTGCACAATTATGTAATGAATATATGGCTAATAGAACAAAATAAAAAATACATAATATACATAACAAATAATTGTAATAAAATATTATTTTTATTATTACGATTATGATTATATGAGTTGTTTTTAATTTTTCCTATAACTCTTTATCTCTTCACCTAATCAATCTCTGTAATTTTTTTTCTTTCTTAAAATTGTGTCCATTTTTCCTGTATTTTTCATTCCTTTTTTTCTCTTTTCTTGTCATCTCACAATAATTATCTCAACAAAGATAAATGACTGTATTTTTTTTCAATGTAGGCTGGACCTGGCCTGGTTTTTATGAAGTTTAAGAGTATCTTTGGTGATGGGATCTTTCTTCATTCCCTTACACCAAAGGAACCCCTTCTACAGACTATGTGTCATCATATCTATGCTTCCTGGACAATTCCTACTTTTCTGGCCAAGTTTTTGCTTTATGTTGAAGCTATTCAGGTATAAACAATAAGTTATGTTGTTGTTTTATTGAGGGGACATTAGTTTTTGGCCTTAAAGTTTATGATGTATAAAGTTTCATTATTGTTGCACTTCTCATTGTTGTTATAAAACTGAATGTTAAGTTTTTGAGAGGAACTAAGTTGTACATGTGAATCGTTCTTTATTCAATTTGGGAAAATTCCAGTTTAATTAGTCCAAAAATGTTGGTTAAGTTAAGTTAAAGTAAGAAGCTTGGTGTTCAAACGAGTTGTCTTTAGAATTAAAAATTATGGGTTACATTTAACTGAAAAAATAAATTTAAGTTGAATTATATGTCTTTAAGTTTAACAGTGAAGAAGTTTATTATCAGTCTACAAAAAACTCCACATTTTCTATAAATTTATCATTATTAGCAATTATCTGTTAAATTTGTAAACTCGGTTTTCATTTTTAATTTATTGATTCCTTTTAAAAAGCTGTCTTTGGTAAATTTAACAAAGTAAAAATAAAATATTATTAGTTTTATTTATTTAACTATATTTGGAACTTCAAATAGGTTGAACGTGACATCATGATATGGAACCACAAGACGTATTTGTCATCTCCACTTTTAGTGAAAGAAGATCAGTTAATAAAAAAGCATCGACGATGGTACTCACAATTCTTCTCTGAGAACAGTCCACGCCTTTCCATGAAGAAAGAGACATTAGACTGGTGATGTCAAACTTTGAACCGGCAGCCGTTTCTATTAATTCTTGCACTGTTTGTAAGCTTTTCAGTCATCGACTTTACCGTGCGAGCAGAGCTTAATAGCTTTTGTCTTCTTAAAAGGTGAGGAGAAAAGAAGACTGATGTGCCTGAATTGCTTTTTATTAGCCTTTGCCGGCTGAAGTCTGAACTTTTAGACTAAGCAATCTGTTTTCTTTCTTCAAACTGGCTTTTTCAATTGTTAATACATCTGTTTATTGATAAGCCAGTGGTTATACAGGGTTCGTACTGGTCATGAAAAACCTGGAAAGTCATGAAAGTCATGGAATTTCATTGTCGGTCAGTGGAAAGTAGTGGAAAATTGAAGTTTTGTCTGGTAGATAAGTTACTGTAGATGCCAAGGGAACAACAAAGTAAAGTAGAGACAAGTCATTAAACAACGCAAACAGCACATATTTTGGTGGAAACCAGAGTTTTGTGGATGCTGAAGTGAGTTAGGTCAAAAACACCTTAAATAACACAAGGATAAGTTTGAAAATTTTTGAAAGTGACAGCTAAATCATAAGGTCATTGAAAAAATAATGGAAAGTTATGGAATTTGAAAAGCTGAAAAGAGTACGAACCCTGTTATAACTAGGTCCATTAGGTACCAAGCGCATGGCTGTTAGGCCTGGGTTCGAAAGTATGTACCACATGTAGCAACATGCAGTGCATGCTCGACAAAGATCTTACTTGATTCAAGCAGAGTCCTCATCAAGTATGCCAAAATCAAGAAAGCAAAAGAGAAGCTCTGCTGGCAGGGTATCATCCTACTTATATGATATAACAGTTTTTAGTAAAATCCAACTAGTGGTCTATAACCAATGCTGTTTTCTGATTGGTTGAGCTACTCTTAGGCTATATGTTATAGCCCACTAGTAGCGAAAAGTGTCGGCTTTGAAAACCAAAACAATGGCGGCTGAATCACGTTTTGCTGAATCACGTTTTGTTTTGCTTTTGACCAACTGGTTGGATTTTACTAAAACAATTATTCCTCTCTCTCTCATGGCCTCTGAGTCAATAGCCCATTCGGCCTTCGGCCTCTTGGGCTATTGACTTAGAGCCCATTCAGGCTCGGGGAATAATTGTTAAATAGTTCTAGCTGTAGTAATGTTGCCTGGGAAGAGTAGCCTTGGGTCTATTACTGGCACTCATGATCATTCACGTCAGGATGGGGACAGGCTCATTTTCCAAACAGTGGCTGCAGGGGTTAAGGGTAGTAATTTTCTAACCCTGATCTGCTATACACTGCATGATTTACTGCCTGAGACTGTTTTGATTTCAACATGAAAGGTTAAGTTTTTTAAGTGCTAACCAGGGCGAGAATAGCCTTACATTAATGACCTCTGATTGTTTTTCTGAAATAGAGGCATACATGCAGCTGTATTATCTTCAATCAAAATATTAATCTCAACTAAGTGAGAAGAATTTAGGTTAAATTAGTATTAAAATAATTCTTTATATATAAAATATTAAATGCACAGTGTGGGTTTTGATGCCAAACATTTTTTTATGATACTGTATGCGAATGCTGCAAATAAACATCTGACATAACTATTTTAAAAAGGAGAGTAAAATAAAATAAAAGACGTAAATATATGCACTTCCAGGAGATATTCATACGAACGTTAACTCAACTTATTCATAAATTAATACATTATTACGGAAGAAAATCACAGAATTTGTGGCTTTTAGTCGGTATACAAATCATTTACAACTATTTGCAATTTTTCAATAGCCATAAATAAAGTACGTTGCTGTAAATGTGCAGCTTTATCTAAGTCTTAAAAGTTTGCTACTTTAAGGTGCAGGTATCAGTTTTTAAAAACAAAATGTATTTTGTCCAAGTGGTAAATCGACTACCATAATTGCTCCAAAAATGCCCTAAATACGGCAAAGTAGTCAAAGAATAGAAGATTCTATTAGTTAAGAGTAACCCAGATACAGATTTAGGGGTGGCGAATGGTACCTTGAAAAACGTGGGTCTCGGAAAATTTTGGCAGGATCTCGAAATCTGGGAAGCGTTTTTGATAAGTCTCGAAGTCTTGTTTTTTCATGGTTTGCGTTTACTTTTTTTGAGTCTCGAAACTTTTCACCAAAGAGTCTCGGGCTCGGATTTCTAACTAGGATCTCGGCGTCTCGGCGAGTCTCGGATTTTACCATTCGCCACCCCTAGATTTCAGTTTCTTTGTACAGATATTTTCTAGTTTACTGTTACAGTTTGTGTTCACTTAAAGTAAAGACTATGCTATTAAATATTTGAAAACAAAGTAAGCACCTGGCCCTTCTCAACTTGGAAAATTGAAATGAGCACCTGGGCACTGATTCAAGCATTTATAGTATGTGGTAGAAAGTACCAATCTAAGAAAAATTATAAAGAAATGTTTATTATTTTCTTTTAACATTGAAATCTTCATTTTCAAGCATCACAAACATTTTGGTAAATAATGTTGTCAATTCCGAACTCTTACGTGTCAAAATGAATGATATTATTTAATCTTGGATGTAATAATTTTAAAGATTTTATGGTTGCAGTAATAATATAAAACAAAATTCTTAAACTTCAGGGTATATCTTTTGAAATAAATTATTTTAGTTTTTTTAGTGTTCATGATTGCAACTGCGTGATGTGGGGTTGCGGTAGATTATGTTCACAGACATGAATAATAATGTTTTTTGGCATCTAAGGCAAAATCTTTTTTGAAAGCTTTAAATATTTCAACAAAGTCCAGTTTTCTCTAGCTCTATACAGGTAGGGTGATAATATATAATAGATTAATAGATACATGTAGGGAGTTTAATACCTTACTTGATGTATTAAAATTTGCACAGTACTAGAATTTGCGCAGCGCTGGGTGCACCAATTTTAGTACTGCGCAAATTATAATCCGCGCGAAAAGCTTTGTGGTGTAATATGAGACACTCCTTGTTAGTAATGCAAATCAGTTGATTTATTAATGCATAATACACATTTGACATATGTTTTAAGTTGAATTTTGCTTACATTGCATAATTTACATAATTTTGAAGGCATTTTTTGAGCGCCACCTAGTAAAAAACACTCATTATGAATGTGTTAATTGTTAACAGCTCTATTAAACAAACCAAAAAGAACGAACACGGAAAAATTACTTGCGCGAATAAGTCTTAACAAGTTGCGCAAAATTAAATCGCGCTAAGTTAAAGCTGAGCGAAAATGAGTACGGCGCAAATTTTAATACAAGTAAGGTATATTAAATAAATTTAACAAGTTGGCACAACCTTATTTTCTAAAATCAGTGGAAATTCTAGGACACTTGTTAGTCTCAATTAATTTTTGAGTTATGTTAGTACATTTTATTAATTAGTTTGTGAGTAGAACACGTAGACAAAATGTGTATTAAAAACCTCATCACAGAACGTCTCCACTTTAATGTGAGTTGGGGCATAGACAAACCTGTATTGGTTGGTTGCAGAAGGGTCACTTGCAATTTCTAAGGCTTTAAAGGAATGCTTAAACCCATCCTGAAATTTCCTGGAGTGAGAGGGTTAAGACGAATAAACTTTTTGTAATAAGGAGTATAGATCCAATGCAAAAATGGTTGCTGGATTAATATTGTAAAATTAGCCTGACTAGCCTCATTCTTCAGAAAACAATTCAAAAGAATACATTAACTCAAGCTAGGCCAGTCACGCTAATTTTAATTCAAACAAAAGTAGATTATTAAATCCAGCAGCCCTTTTTGCATTGATGGGTCTATCCTGGATACATTCTGGGGCATCACATTAAGAGCACTAGAGGTGCATCTATGAGAACAACTGACATGGGACTTCATCTTAGGTGTTTATGAACATTGCATGCAAGGCTTCTTTAATAACATGATATCAGAATGGAAGAAGACAGAATATAAACAACAGGGCCTAGTTGTTCAAAGCTGGGTTAACCCTTCAAGTCCCAATGGTGTCCAACATCAATTTTCTCCTAACCATATCCATTGATTGTCAAGAGATTTGGTTATGAGAATTAATAAATTGATCACCTAAGAGAAAATGCTTTGATCTTTCATCAAATTCTCTCAACTTATTCTTTAAGAAAATGTATAAAGATCAGTTTGGAGAATTTGTATGTGGATATTGGGGCTTAAAGGGTTAAGATAACCCAGGGTTATTGCGAGATGTGAATTCAGATTTGAACGCTTAGAAAACATTTCAGTTTTAATTCTTTTTGTCTACAAGTTGATGATTGGAAGCTCTAAAAATAGCACAGAAAATTATCCGAGAAAATGCTTTTGAAGACAAGAAAAAGAAACCCAGGTTATATTTAACCCCGGGTTAAGCACTAATCGGCCTTCGAACAACTGGGCCCAGAGGATCAAGAGGATCAACACTACCCACCAAGGAAGTAAGCCCAACTAAACAGGGATAACCTAATCACCTGTATAAGGTGTTTTTGAACCAACATGTGATGTACATATTATGATTATCACATGTCTGATAGCTAATCAAACACTCAACTAGTGAAGATGTTATGTACTGCCTCAGAGGGTCAAGAAAAGTTGATAAGAAAAAGACTGAAGTATCCATAACAATCCTTTTAAGCCTGGCTTTCACCTGCGACACACAGCAGAGTAAGATTTGTCATCAGAAGCATAGAACATCACAATCTCGTGGGAATGATGTTCTGATTCCACTTTATGACTCTGTGACATTATGATCAAGTGAAAACTAGGAACTAAGTCAATCACAAAGTGTGGGAATGAGAATTGTGTTTGGTTTACTCTCTCTCTCTCTTCTGCTTTCGACTCCAATAATCTGGTTTTTACTAGACTGTAAACGACAGAGAAAAAAGTGGAAACATTCCAAATTTTCTTCTGATTTTTAACTTCACTACGTCATATAAGCCCTTTTACAACTTTGACTCTGTTGCTAATAAGACCTAGGAAAAGGTGACCACATTCTGTAGGGAACTCCACTGTAAAAGCGACAAAGGCA